TAAAGAATATGAAATTTGAGAAAAGTACCGTGCTAGCTTCCATGGCATCTCCAAAATATACAAGTGCTCCCTGAGATAGTAGGCAAAGGTTATCAAACTGCTCAAACACTTCGCTACTTGGCTGGTGAATTGACATAATAACAGTGCGTTTTGAAGTAGCGAGGTTCTTAATTGTTTTAATCACATAAAACGCGGATGCACTGCAAAGAAAAACATCAAATAAAAATTATGATAAACCAGACTTAAAAATCATATAAATGTTCACCTGTCTAAACCACTGGTTGGTTCGTCCATGAACAAAAGAGATGGTTGAGTTAGAATCTCCAGAGCAATGCTCACTCTTCGTTTCTCCCCTCCGCTCAATCCACGCGAGAACCAACCTCCCACCACTGTATACTTGCAATCTCCAAGCCCCATCTCAGTGATCACACTCTCAACCATCTCCATCTTTTGGCTTTGGGGCAGTGAGTGAGGCAGCCTCAATTGAGCAGAGTAAGTGATTGTCTCCAAGACAGTGAGTGTTCCTAGCAAAACATCTTCTTGTTTCACATAGGGCTATGACAGAAAGTTTGAGAATCACAGAATCAAATGTTTATACACACCGCAGTCCCATGCCTCATGTTCGTCTGGAGATTCCCATTCACAAAAATGGATCCTTCTCGCCTTGCGTTCTTGGCCAATCTCCCTGTGATGAACGACAATGCAAGAATCTCGAGCTTTAATCTATTGCCCAAACCCAAATCAATCTTGGAAAACTATACCAGTAAGTGCATCGAGCAAGGTGGACTTTCCGGATCCCGAAGGACCCATGATCGCCGTGATTTGGCCGCTCTGGGCATAGCCGCACATACTCTCCAGCAACACTCGTCCATTGCTCGCACTCACACTCAAATCCTTCCATCCGACATCCATAATAATATATTAGTTCTCCTTTCTCTTGAAAACTTGGGTAAGATTTATAGCTCTCCAAGTTGGACTTGGACTTTCAGCTACTGTAACACGGTAAGATCTTAGATTTGTAGGAGATTAATAGTGTAAAATATTGTTTAATTTCTTTCTTGTGTTGTCTTGACTTTCCCATTCAAAGTCTGTCCAAAAGTCTCGAAATTCTTAAAACTCTCGAGTGTCTTCTTCTCAGGAAATTTGGCATTCCAAGGACCATTCCCTGGACATATCTTGTCTTTCCCAAAGATAATTCTTCATTAGGTTTTTCTATATCACACCTAAATAAGATAGAAACACTTGTGAAGACATTTTCCTCACATGGTGCACTAAAGAAAGATATTTGTGATGGTTGAAGAGGACATAGAGTGCATTCAAGGTAGCCACTTCATTAAAAACAAGGTAAGTTTGCAAAAGATTTCTTATAACATTTTGTCTTTGTAATCAATTATAGAGAACTATTTGAGAGATGAATTTTAGGTTCAAATATAGAGGGAAAAGGGCTTATGAATAAAAGTGCAGTTAATAGTTTTAAGATATTTAAGGTTCATTATCTTTAGGTTGAATAATGTTAAAGTAGTGGACCTTTTAAAAGTTTAAATTCAAGAGTTTACATTTGGTATTAAAAAGATTTCATGTTTGACTTTGTTGGTTGGTGAGAGGAATCACACTACATGTTGAGATTGACATTTACTAGATATTAGAGGGATTTCAAGTTTGACTTGATTGGAATCACACCACATGTTGAGATTGATATTTGGTAGGTATTAGAGAGATTTTAGGTTTGATTCTATTGATTAGCGAGAGGAATCACACTACATGTTAAGATTGATATTTGGTAAATTCAGTTTGCCTCTGGATGGACTCGATATGAAGGGTAGAGTGTCAAGAGACTGGGCCTCTCAAGAAATTTACAACTCTTAGACTTTCATTCATGAGGGACCGAGCCTTTCGGGAGAGTTATAGCTCTCGACTTCCATTCATAAGGAAGCTTACAAGGAAGCATGGTGGATTATAAATAACTAAAGAGAACGATTTAAAAGAGATTTTAAGTTTGACTTTATTCATTGGCAAAATGAATCACATTACATGTTGAGATTGATATTTGGTAAATTCAGTTTGCCTTCGAGTGGACTCGATTTGAGGGGTAGGGTGTCAAGAGACCGAGCCTCTCAGAAGAGCTATAGCTCTTGACTTTCATTCATGAGGGAGCAGGCCTCTCGGGAGAGGTACAAATCTCAACTTCCATTCATGAGGAAGCTTACAAGGAAATATGGTAAATTGTAAACAACTAAAGAGAATAACTTAAAAGACGATTCAAATATAGAAGGTGAATAAAATGGTACCCCTTTTTCTAATCGGTGTTGAAATTGATTTCACACCACATGTTGACATTGATAGTTAGCAAGTTTAGTTTACCTTTATATGGGCTCAACTTGAGGGGTGGGGTGTGTGAGACACAAAATCCCTAGGCCCCAAAGTGGAGCCAGAAGGGTGCCATGTGGTAGTGGCTGAAGCGAAAGCCAAACGAGCGTAACACGTTTGGACTAAAAGCTCTGACTTGATAGGTTGAGAGCGGGAGTGGAACTCCCAACAAAGTGCTTGAGGAATGAGCACGAAGCAAGCAATAAGCGAGGCTCTAAAAAGGGACCCAAAAAGGACTAACACATGACACGTGGAAGAGTCCGAGATGGACCCGAGATGGAGTCCGAGATGGAGTCCAAGATGGACCCAGGATGGAGTCCGAGATGGAACCGAGACCGAGACCAAGACCAAGACCAAGTCCTAGTCCGAAACCGGGACCAAGACCGAGTCCGAGTCTGAATACTAATATAGGCAGTTGGGTGAAAGCCCAAAGCGATCATCCCCTGGGGGGGGGGGGGGGGGGGGCCTCCCGGGGGTTCCAAAAATATAAAAGGGAAAGTGGGGGGGTTGGACCCTAAGGGAACTTTTTTGGCCAGGAAAGGCCATTTTGGCCCAGGAAAGGCTATTTTGGCCCAGGAAGGCTAAACCCCGGGTTGGGGGATGAACTGACCCCGGGGAAGTCCAAAACTAAAGGGAATACGGCCCCCCAAGGGGGGAACCTTGGTGCATAGATGATGAGCTGCCTCCCCATCCCCCGGGAGATCAACTGGCCGATGCTCCCAATCCAAGTGTGGGTGGCACTACCTACTTGGATACCTGGTGTGGCTCAACGGAACCTCGTTCTAAGCCCATGGCTAGAGCACCTAAAGGCGGAAGGCGGGGAGAGTACCCACGGGGCTCGCGTAGGGCCACGGTGTTCCAAAATGTTGTCTCGAAGTCCCAAATGGGGGAAAGGAGGAGGAGCAATCCTCTAGTGTAATGACTACAGATACGGTTACATGGCGAGGAAGTCCCAGAGGACAATAGGACTTAGTGGCCGGGCCTGTGGGCCTTGATCTAGTGGCAGTGTTGGTGAACATGGCCATGGATGAAAAAGGGACTTGGTAGGAACTGACAAAAGGATGTTGGGGAAGGCTATTCCCCATGTCTGTGGGCATTCTAAGGATGCTAAGGAGTGGATTTGGGATGACCACTTGTGAACGGACGGCCCAATCTTGGAGAGATAGGATTGTGATGCAAGTGGTATTAGACCACCAGTGCGGCAAAGGTGAATGGGCATGGCCTTAGCGTAACAGGCCGATATGTCAGTGGTAACTTTGGGTGTCGGTCTTGGGACTGGACACGTGGAGCACTTGGACCAAGTGCAAGGGTTGAGTGGCATAGATGCCATTCTCGGGACTAACAAGTCCCAAGTCCTGAATTGGACTTAAGGAGGTTGTGAATGAGACTCCTCCAAGTGGTCAGAGGTGTGGTTAAGTGACTAAAGTAGAATAGAAAATTTAGTCGCTTACAACTTGGTATTGGAGCTGTTCCTTAGTCCGACTTTTATTGGTGCTCATGTATATCACCATTGATGTTGGCATCAGAAGGTCCTAGGAGTGGGCCTATCCTTGAGGAATAGCATGTCGAGAGGACATGGCTCTCCACTCAAGTTCATGCGTGAACTTGGGCATGATGTGGTGGATAGAAAAGGGCCAGTAAGGGAACGACTTTGGCATCTTGGGAACAGTATAAGGATTTCCTTAGAGAGCTGAGGATGTGATCCAGATGAGCGTTTGACTTAGCAAACTGGCTGAAGTAGTTGTGGTAAACAACTACAGTTGGGATCACGGGAAATATGCAGACTCCAAAACAATAAAGGAGTTACAAGATTACCCTCATATAGTTGAGGCTAGTGTTCACAACTTTGAGACTAGAATTGATGACCATGGGAAGTCAAATACAGAAGAGGATATAAGTCCTTGAAATGGTAGCCGGAGCTACCTCTAATAAATGCTGGAACAACCCAAGGAGTTGGGGGTGTACTCAGAGGATGAGTTGGTGTTCTCATCACATGGACAAGTGGTCCTAAGGGGCAAAAGGTTGCCCCAAGAGAACAAATCAAGTGTTGGAGTAACACTTGCAAAGATGGTCCTTGTGAGCAGGACCTGAATATAAAAAGTTATATTCCAGTGAGTTAGCACCTCAAAAGTAAGACCTTATATTTCGGGGGATTAGCAAAGTCCAAAATGCTTGATGACTCAAGTGGAGTCAAGGAATGGTCCTAAAGGATTGGTAGAAGCATTTGGACTGAGGTGTATGTTGCCCCATGAGGTATGGGGAGGATCATAAGATCCAAGTATGAGTACAGTGGGTATCTCATTGATGGCAGAATGTGCCATACTAAAGTTGTGGGAAAGATGTTCCCAGAAGAAAGCAACTTTGGCCCATAATTGGGTGCAAACACTATAGTGCGGTATTAACAGATAGTTAGCATGAGAAACAATTATATTGGTCTTGGCAAAGACCTAGACACTAATAAGTAGTGTCATAAGGATAGGCTCGTAGGGCCGATGGTGTGGAGACACCAAATGTGCCAAGGTGTGATACCTTGAGGTTATGATGGTGGGTTCATAAGAACCTCTTGCCAAGGGAATCCCAACGGAAGCGGGAATGGCATGGCTTAAGCTGGAAGGCATGCGATTGGAGTGTGGTGACCCAGATAATGTTGGAGGTGTGGAAGCACCAAACAATGAGTGGTAGGACTTGACAATTAGGGGGCAACTAAGCAAGAGGTGCAAAGATAATTGGTTAAACAGGTAGAAGGTAGCTACCCAAGACTTTTTAATAGCATAAGGAAGTTAGATATACCCTTATAGGTGATAAATTGCTTATGTTGCGATATAGTGAGTCAATGTCGTAAAAGGAAATGCTCATTGTCAAGGAGACTATTATTGGGACACCCAAACACTCTGGAACACCAAGAGGTGGTGTTTAGTGTCGCAAGGGCAATAGATAAAGCCCAAGGGACTAAGTCCCTAGCGAATGATGGATAAAAGGTGCTATCCAAATGTCCAAGGTTGCGGAGACGGGAGAAGACTGTCTACCCAAATTGGACAAAGCCAAAAATGGAATTTTGGCAAGGCTAGTGAAGGCCCATGAGCAGCAACATTAATCTCGGTGTGTGGGATTATAAGGTGAGCATACCTGGATTGAGGAACCACTCCCTAGGCTATCAGGTAGGTTCATCCCTAAGAATACTTGCTAAGGCATGATAAAAAGTGCAAAACTATCCTCCTAATCTAGAGGAGAATGACCGAAGGAAAGGTGTGAAGCCAAAAGCAAGTAGTAAGGGGATGGAACCGAACCATAGGAATCGAAAGGCATGACCAAGGTTGGTTATGCTAGCTGGGAGTGGAGAATCAAGTGGGGGCTCGAGGGTGTTGTTGTTAGCAACCGTGATGCCATGGAAAGTCTAAAATATAGAATTGTCCATATTAAACTATATGGCAACTAGAAAGCTTGCGAAAAGGGAGGCCTTAACAAGCTAAGGGACAAAGTTCCTTCAAGGTTCCCAAAGACGATTCTAGGTAGCTAGTACCTAGAAGGGCCAAGTGTAAATGGTT